CACAACCTCTGCGTTTGCCTCAGCGCCAGGGCCACCGCGTGAGTCCCCATGGGAGCAGGACAGCGTGTGCTCCCTCCCTCCTTCCCTCCCGCCCCGTCACATGCCGCCTTTCTGCTGGCCTGCGGCCCCCAAGCCCTGCTGTCTCCTCTGGGCAAGGAGGAAAAGAGGCCGCTTTTGTTTTGCTTGGTTTTCCTGGATGTTTTTGAATGCCACATATGCTTTGTGTTGACAGGGCTTAATGGCAGCGAGCTGGATGTGGTGGCCCCTGAGGCTGTTTGTAGGCTGTTCGTAATTGCTCTAGGAGGGCTGGATGTGAAATTATTTCAGTACCGCTTGTACTGACAGTGCTGCTACGTCCATGGCTTCAGCTGGAGGTAGGAAAACTGCTTACTGAGGCCCTAAGCTAAAGCCGCCCAGCGCTGGTGTTAGCCCGGACCCCTCTTAGCTGCTCCCTTGCCCTGTTAATGAAGATCCGTGGGGCAGGGGCGCTGCTCTGCGCGCGTGTGAGGGGAAGGTGCCAGCCCTCGAGCAGGCCCTGCCATTGTGTTTTTACGCGGCTGCTTATGAACCCCCAGTCTGTGGAAACCCTGAAACAGGGAGCGAGGGCTTCGTGCAGAACGTGGTGAGGCCGGGGCCTCAGAGGCCGCCTGTGGCCGCCCTCCCTGCACCATAGCTGACTTGCACAGTACAGCCAGCTTCATGCACTCGCTGCGTGGGCCCAGGCCTGCGTTAGCCATCTTTCTGCAGGGCAAACCCCCAAGCAGCAAGGTTTTATCGGCCGAATGGAACCTTGTCTGTATAAAATTAATCCTGAGATTTCTCCTTCTGTGAAGCACTTACCAATTGTCGGGCGCTGCTGAGTGCCGCAGTTCTTGCTATCTCCTGGTGCTTCCTGAGCTACCATGGCTTGAATGGTTTGGATAAAAACTTCTCCTTTTCCAGTTCTTTTGGTGATATGAGCTTTTAAGACCACTGGCTATCATGTGTCACTTAAATTGTCAGAATTGGGCCAAACTGATCCTTGGTGATTTTAATTTAAGATAAAGGGAAATGTGTCCCATGAAAATAATGAGAAGGAGGAGGCAAAAGGCAGCATAAACAGGAGGACAGAAGAGAGAAGTCTTTGTTCCTGTATCCCCAGAAGGGCTCGCCGTGGTCTGGGAACAGTGTGGTGTCCCCAGCTAGGAAAACAGCACCTCTCTGTCTTTGAACCTGCCTGACCTTTTACGTTATTTCAGTCTCATTCTCTGGAGTTCAAGGTACTGGCTGTGCTTCAGGAATTCAAAAGCATAAACACTCATCAGTTTGGCTGGCACTACATATGAGATGAGGAGGGAACTGGGAAAGAAAAAAAACACATCCAAAAGCCAAACAAAAACTGTACAGGGCTCATAAATAAAGCATGTAGCCCTTCCATGGCATTGCCCGGTTTGCCTGCTTCCTTCCTGCCTCCCTTTCCTCCCCACTGCCTCCTGGTCCTAACACCCCTATGAAACCAGACAAGGTTTCTCTATTACCTCCAATCGTAGCAAAACTAGAGAGGCTTCTACTTAAGCTAAAGCAAAGTAGGCTTAAGTACAAAGTTAATAGGAACTCCCCCGACCTGCTGAGTGGTTGTGACTTTTGCAGTGTTTGTAGTTTTTCCATAACCTGTCTGCCAGTCTATGTTTTTTCAGTCCTTTCCTGTGGCCGGGGAACCCTGCAGTGCTGGGCCAGGCTGGGTGTTAGGGGTGCATCACTGCCCGTCAGGTGCGGCAGCTGCACTCTTACATTCTCTGTGGATTACGGGACAAAAACCTCTGCATTTGATGCTGCTAAAGTATACAGCATTTCCTGAGCTCTGACAGTACCAAAGGGAGAGGTCTGATGCTGAGAAAGCTCCCATCCAAGCTCTTCTTGTTCGTTTTCCACTCTGCCAGTGGGCTACACTGCAGAACTGAAGGCAATGTAAATCTATTTAAAGATCCCTTAAGGACTTCCAGGCCTCGGAGGACTCACAGTACTAGGTTTCGGCATCTGCTGGCCAGAGGCAGTACTACTATTTTGGCACTGAGCTATGTGAAAACTGTTCTGTGGAGAAGCTCCAAAGTACATGGGTGACCACATGTCTGTTTTGCGCTGAGTCAGGCCATACTGTACAAAATCCATCTCATGTGTCTCGCTGCATCAACGTATCCATTAGGCCCTGGTTATTTTCCCCTCTTCACTCTTTTGTCCTCTTAGGTAGCAGGAGCAGAACAGGCTGTTACAAAACCAGACGTCATTTCTTGACAGATCAGCTTTGCAGTGTGTGAAGTGCTGTTCAGCCTCCACTACAGATGGAGGGGCCTGATAGAGTGCAGCCTCTGCAGATGCTGTAATAACAACAATAATAACAACAAAAAGCACAGGCTGCTTTCTGCACGTGCTAGTCAGGCTGCATCGCTGCAGGGGCTGCGTCTGAGCAGAGCAGGAGCTCTGATAAGTGGGCTTTGCTTTCGACTTTCACTTTTCCTCTGCTCGTGAAGCATCTGTAAGTGATGAAATCCACTTTTCAGCCTGTCTCTTGAGTGGCAGGCAGACACATATGGCGTAACACATGTGTTACATACAACCAGCTGCAGCTCCCGTAGCAGCTGCGAGACTCGGTACGTGCCATTTACTGGCACTGGGACACTCACTCGCTGCCTCTCCCAGCCGTGCACAGCGGAGCGTGGGGCCCCGAGGATGCTGCAGGGGAGGCCCCAGAGTGACATCCCTCCCCATGAGTGCCTGGCTCCTGCTCTGACAGCTGCTGACAGCCTCCTCTGGCTCTTCTGTGTGGTTAGAGTCTGTGCGGGCCCCGCTTTCTGGGTGCTCAACTGTGTGTTCTGCTAAGGAGCCCAGACCAAGCAAAGACTGGGCTGCTCCTCATCCTCCTCAGGGGTCACTGGCCTCTCCTCGACTTTTCCCTCTTCTAAACTGTGCTCCTGTACTGCAACCAAATGCATGTAAGAGTCTCTCATCTTTTCCAAGCGATCATCTCATTGATTTTTTGAATCCCAAATCTCATCTGAAAAAAGGGCATGGAGCACAGGTCAGGTAAGTTTATAGCTTGGTGATACTGTATTTGAAATACTGTATCTATATTTACAGGACAGGATCACATTCCTACCAAAGCTGGAGTCATCCTAATGGTGGTATAGTGTGAGGTCTTGGTTTTCAATGCTGAACCTTACAATAAGGTGATTGGAAGCATCTGAAAAATAGAGACTTTCCTTCTGCTTTTATCTTCTCTGAATCTTTTTAACACCCCCAGATATCCTTTTCCTTTCTCCTGTTCTAGCAAGGACCCCTAGAGAGTGTTTTATACATAAGAAGGCCAGGGTTGGATTAACTGTTATCGACAGTATTTAGCTGGCTTGCCTTTCCCTAATGCCTTCTAGGAAAGGGTGAGTCAGGCCTAGGTTCCCAGGGCTACACTGGAACCAGGGGGTGGGGAAACGGGAGAGGGCGAAGGAAGAACTGTAGTCATTTGCTTTGCACTGTTTTAAAATACACCCAGAGGAGGTGAGAGAGCTTATAAACACATTTTTACTATAGACAGAAAAGCTGGGGGTTTTTTTGTTGTTGTTTTGTTTTTGTTTTGTTTCATTTTTTACATGAGGGGACCCAATAGGATGAGTTTGTCACAGGGAACTTGGAGGAAAAGAGAAGACTGCAAACAAAAGAGGAAGCCACTAGCCCACGTCCTCAGAGATCTCTAGCAGTATTTTGCATGTGAACTCCCAAACTACCAGCTTAGCAATAAAAATGCATATCGGCTCTGGGTGCTGCTTTCTCTCACAGCAGACCCAGAACAGGACATTGCTAGGTATCTGCAGAGTCACCTGTGTTTTACTCTGAAGGTGTTTTATGATTCCCCAGAGAAGCAGCACAATGGCCAGCAAGAGTGAGAAGAGGTTTTCTGGTACATACTGTCCCTGCCCTTAAGGGCCAGGTCTTTGGGTTTCTGTGGCTGAACCTCAGCCTTACAACCCCTATGGGGAAATGCAGCTGCTCAGTTGAAGCACAGGCCTCCAAGCAACAGGAAGAGTGCAATTTTCTCTCTCATTCACCCACCTTTCATTAGGTGGATGAATTTATTGTTAACTCATAATTTGTTTCACTCAGTTGTCCCTCCTTCAGCCCTCAGGAGTCCCAAGACAGGTAACGCTGGTGAGTAATGTTAATCTACCACTGCTGAGGCAACTGGTAGGAGCCCTTGGAGGGGCAGCTGTATCAGCCTTGCACAGAGCTCGCCGTGCACAAGCCAGGGAAAGGGATGCAGCTTTCTCCTCTGCCCCGTTAGCACATGGAGCTGCATGTCCCTTTGC